AAAACAGATGAAAACTGCAATATACACTTTTATTGCAGCCCTGCCTCTGATTTTCTGAGTCATTAACAAGGGGCCACAATAGTCAATGCCTGTATTCTCAAATGGGTGTGATGGACTGATGCGTTGCGAAGGTAGTGCCCCCATTATTTGCTCAGTGACAACAGGGCGAAGGCGATAACAAATTATGCAGTGGTGGAGTACTTGCCTGATGACCTTTCTTGCGTTGAGTATCCAAAATTTGTCACGAAGAATATTTTGCAATGTTTGAGCGCCTGCATGAATATGTTGCCGATGATAGTAAGTGATGAGAGTGTGAATGAAAGGGTGAGCATGGGGCAGCACGATGGGGTGTTTGGCGTTGAAAGCTAACGTAGAATTTTTTATTCTGCCGCCGACTCGAATTAGTTGATTGTGCAAAAATGGTGCGAGCTGTAAAAACCTTGACGATCGATGAAGGGGTAAATTTTTTAACATCCTTTGGTACTCGTCACGAAAATACAATAGCTGAATATTTTTGCAGACCATTTCTAACGTTGCCTCTATTTCGCCGGATGTAATCATCAATCCCCGCTTGCGTTGAATGATCCACCTCACGTACGTAAATATCCGAAGAAATTTTTGGAAGTTGGTTATGTGTTTGTGAGAGGTGATCATATCGTATTGTTCCTTTGCAACCAATGCGAATCGTTGACATCGCTGTTCAGGTATGTCAGAAGGTATATCAAACGATGAACGTGGCCAATGCTCTTGAGGCAACAGTAAAAATTTTGGCCCATGAAACCATAAAGAATTGGCGATTATGTCATGAGCCGATGCTCCTCTTGAAACGACGTCAGCAGGATTGTCGGCTGATGTTACATGGTGCCACTTGAATTGTGATGTTAATTGTTGAATTCTGGTTACTCTGTTCGCAACGAATACTGTCCAACGCGACGGCTCTCCCTTGATCCAGGATAGCGCGATGGTCGAGTCTGACCAGCAATGAATGGCTTCAGGATTTGGTGAAAATATGTCAATAATTGATTTTAGCAGTTCCGCCAGCAGCAATATAGCGCACAATTCAAGTCGAGGTAAGCTAACTTCCTTCTTTGGAGCTACACGAGACTTAGCGGACAGCAACGATGACGTCGTACCATTAGAATCGCGTGTGACCATGTAGATGCAGGCGCCGCAAGCCTTCGTGCTGGCATCTGCAAAGGCATGAATTTCAGTAGCGGTGTTGAAAGGTACATACCTTGGAATTTGGATTTTTTGAACCAGAGATAGCTGCCGACGAAAATCTTGCCATTGGGTGTAAACATCTTGTGGGACACTTTCATCCCAATCTAGTTTCAGTGCCCATAGATGCTGCATTAATATTTTGCATGAAACTATTATAGGGTTCAATAATCCAAGTAGATCGAAGAAGCTTGCAATTTGGGATAAAATCGCTCTTTTTGTTGTTTTCGAAGACGACGATGATTCGGTGTAGCTGAACACGAAGTTATCGCTCGATGGTGACCATTTAAACCCAAGTGTTTTAATGTAGTCTACGCCACCGAGTTGTACGATTTCTTCACGGTCAGCTTGAGGAATGTCAGAGATGATGGAATTGTCATTAGTGGCGAATTTTCGTAGGGGAAAGCCCCCATGTTTAAGCAACTCAACAACTTGCTGTTTAATTTCGACGACTTCATCAGTGGTAGCGCCACCTGTCATGAGATTATCGACGTAAAAATCTCTGAGCGTAACAACTGAACCAATTGGTAGCGATTTTGCCTCGTCCTTTTCCAACTGTTGTAGAGCCTTTGTGGCGAGATATGGTGCGCTGCTTGTACCATATGTGACGGTCTGCAGCTTGTACACTTGCACAGAAGTGTTCGGTGATTCTCGCCACAAAATGCACTGCCAAGGAGAGTCAGCTGAGTTCATTTGTACCTGGCGGTACATTTTAGCGATGTCAGCCATTAACACGTATTTGTAAGCTCTAAAGCGAAGCAGGATTGTGAAAATATCGTCCTGTAGCGTCGGACCGACGAGCAATATGTCGTTCAAAGACTTCCCGTTCGAAGTTCGGCACGACGCATCGAAGACCACACGGAGTTTTGTGGTGCTGCTGTCCGCCTTTGTGACGCAGTGGTGGGGGATAAAATTACGAGCCTCTTCGGGGTTATTAAGCAGTGTCATATGCCCCATGTTAATATATTCGTTCATGAATTCACGATATGTGTTGACGAGTGCGGGATTGCGAGAAAATTTATACTCAAGAGATACCAACCTTTTGAAAGCAGCTTCATATGATTGCCCTAGGCTGCTGGGGTCTTCATTAAACGGTAAGCGAACGATGAATTGGTTGGTTTTTGGACATCTGGTTGTGGTTGTTTCAAAGAGATCTTCACATGCTTGCTCCTCTGCCGAAACTGACGTTGATGAATTGGTGTGGTGTTCTTCCAATGCCCAAAAGGTTTGCAACAGCTGATCGAGAACTGGTTCTTCGGACATGGTGAGAAATGCCATATAGGCCGATGATTTATTCAACGATGAGGTTTTTGGTGATGAAGCTATTGGTGCAGATGAGTTAGCGATGCCAGAAACTATCCAACCGAGTTTAGTTTTCTGCAGAACCGGCGAATTGTTGCGCAGCTTGATTTGACCGACGAGAAGCAAATCATAAAACCACGCTGCTCCAATAAGACAATCGATCGTTGCTGGCTCGTAGAACTGTTCATCTGCCAACGTTATGTTGTTAGGCAAATTCCATTTCTCAATGCTGACACGATTGCTGGGTTGACACGAAGTTATTGTTGGTATGATAACCGCTTCCAAAGTCGACGAAAATGCTGTATGGCGCGATTTTAGTACAACACAGCATACTTGCTGCGTTTTCGTTGTTGTAGATCCAATGCCCGTTACCTCTATGCTGCGCTTTTTGCGCGGTAACCGAAGATGCTGTGCAATTCTTTCGGTGACAAAATGGAGCTGAGAACCTGAGTCCAACAACACACGTGCCATGAGAGAGCTTCCCGCAGTGTTACATAAACGAACTAGAGCTGTAGCGAGAATGACTTCACCTGTAACGATACCAGCCTGTAGCGTTGTTGATTTCTCAGCATTCCCATCTTCCCTTTTGTTGTTGTCGTCTGCCTTGCTACCATATGTGCGATGCAGCAAAGTGTGGTGGCTCGCACGACAGTGCTGGCACCGACGAAGTGATGGGCATTGATTCGACGAGTGGTTGAAACCAAAGCAATTGAGACATAATTTTAACCGTTTAATCAAATTGTACCGCTCAAGAGGATCCATTTTCATGAACTTGGCACAATTGAATGCATTATGATATGGCCTTGTTTCACAAAGTGGGCATTTCGACGACGCAGTTGTGGTGGTGAAAGAGAGCTGTTTCGATGAATATGGTTTCGATGTAGGATTTTTGTGACTGGCGGACCGATGTGAGCTTCATTGATTGGACTCAATGATATTGAACGTTTGGCATCGGCGTTCGAGAAAATCTGCCAAATCGTTCCATGTTGGAAGCTGCAAGGTGGGTACTGACTTTCGATCAAATTTAGCAGCCACTTCTTCTTCCCATTTGCTTCGCGTATTTTCGTCTAGCTTAGACGTTACTAGGTGAAGAATTATTCCATCAGCAATTTGAATGGTGGTCGCCAGCGATTGCATGGCGCGCAGATTAGCATTAATGCTATCGATGAATTCGCGTAGACTTGACACACTCGGCTTGGTGACCTTTTGCACATCAAAAATTGTTGATAAATGCGATTGAAATATAAACCGCTTGTTGTCAAATCTACCCACGATGAGATCAATCGCCCTTTGATAATTGGCTGGTGTAACTTCTAATGACTGAATTAGCCGTGCCGCGCCGTCTGTTAGACATGAGCGCAAATACTGAAATCTCTCGATGTCAGTTAAATCAGCATTATTATGAACCAATGCGAGGAACATATTATAAAAATCTAACCAGTCTGTGTGGCGCCCACTAAATTTAGATAGTTGTAATTTTGGCAGGTTTACCTTGCGATGAATTTGCGAAGAGTTAATGCGGGTGCTGCTTAGGTGATCAATATTTGGCGCCGCTAGTCTAGTGGTGATTGCGCTTTTTATGGTGAAATACGCCGCTTCAAATTCTACTCGATGATTGAAGCCAAACTGCGACTCGTCTAGTTCTTCTAACGCGTACTGTATTTTTTCGAAAGTGTTGCACTGTCGCTCTAACATGTCCGCTTTGACTTTCAACTCTGACTCGGACATATTGGGGAATTCGGAGATTTCATTGCGTGTACCTTGAAGGCGACTCCACAAATGTTCTCGTTGCATAACCTTTACTCGGATGTTACTCGCACCAGCGTCTTGATTTGGAGGAGTTTGGTCCATGTCCAATGTGATGCTATCCAAATTACCAAGCATAATCACGTGTTTTATTCCTTTTCGAAGGAAAAATTAAGCCGAAAATCCGGCTCGAAGGACCTTCTGGTGTAGCGCGCGGAGCGTTTTCCGTGGCTTTTTAATAACGAAAACAAGTAATTCGATATTAATTTATAATTTTTAAAATTCAATTTTATTAACTTTAGATATTAGCGCTTGTATTTGCTAAGTAAGGAAAATAATAAATTTTGAAATATATGTACGAAGCGAAGTGTGTAATTTGTCCGGTGGTCTGCGATCCAATGAAATGAGTGGTTTTAGCTGGAGCTATGCTAGCAGCGACGACGACTAAAACGAAGCAGGTGGTGTTGGTGGTGGTGAGAGCTTTCCAGTGTGAGCATAGGAAGCATGTTACGAATGCAATGCGTAAAGACCTTTGTTCTTGTTTTTAATTCGATGAGTTGACTAGCAGCGAAGAAAACAGTTAGTAGGGGAAATGTTGAGATGAGATAATTGACAGTTGTTTTTCGACGATAAATATGCAGTTACGAAAACAGGGGCGGCGTGAATATAGTTTTTGGTGGGAGCGCGGCCAATACTGTTTCCATTTTTGTAAAGTTGCTAAAATATTTGCAATTGCTATTAACTTAGCTTCGATTTTTTTTTAAAGATTTACAAATTTGGTGTCTTCAAACTAAAAAAAAAGCACCAGAAAACGCACCAGCAACCAAACCCAAAAACCTTCGCATTTTGAATAAAGAAAAGCACTAAATTTAATGCGAAAAGCACCAAATTGGCAACAGTGCCGTGCTGACTGACTGCTTTTCGGCTGTGTTGCTGGGATGAAAAAGTAGGTACAATTACAACCTTTTTCCGACGTTTGTTGACTTAAAGGTACATCAGTAGATTTTAGGTACAATTATTATTGACCCATATTCGCTTTTTGATTTCTGGAAATATATTTAAAATGCTTTCGAAGTTACTTACGGCAATTTGATTATTTTCTCTAGACTTGTTGCGCCTATTAAAAGGAATCGGATAAATTAGCGGACTTTTCGTGTTGTTGCTGGATAAAGAAGTATACTTCGCAAGGTGTGTTTTTTGTCTTTATCGCCAATAGTTTTCAGTAGTCAAAATTTGACAAAAACCACACTTCTCCGATTCCCATTAGACTATAGTCTATAGATATAGGCTCAGTTAAAAAACAAAAACCTAATCATGTTTAAAGTACATCCATCCTTTGTATTCATGTTTTAAATCAAATTTATAAAAAAAACTACAAATGAATGATGTAACTTTTTTTAGGTACAATCTGTCTCATTTAGGTACATTTATTTTATGATATTAGATACAATTTGAAATTTAAATTTTTCATCCCTGCTGTGTTTTATCTTTAGTGGGCTATGTGCTTGAATTTGCGTGGTCGCGCAGCTACATGTTGCTGTGTGATGTTGCGTTGTCATAGCAACGAAGAGGCTGTCGGGTGTTACCATGACTTGTTGTTTGGCTGGCTGCTTTGGTTTGTGTTGCTGTGATTTATTGCATGGCTTGCTGCTTTGGTGGCGGGTATTTGTGTGGGCCAAATTCTTCAGGGACATTTGGTCCTCACAGTGGATATAAATAACCGGACGTTGTGAGCTATGATTTAAACCGTATACACAATAATCGCTTCTGGCCCCTCCCAGGTGAATGGCAGTCAAAAGTTTTCCACTTCTGCGCACGGCACCATCCTCCCAAGACTAGGAAGACTAGGAATATTCCGTCTACTCCCGGGGACTTGTGGGTCTCAAAACTTTTGATTGCCCATTCTACTTTGGAAGAAGTTATGACATTTGAAGGGATGCTACTCGCTATACCTCCCCCACTATCGAGGTTTGTCGAGTTCATGTATCCCGGAAAATGGGTGCTGACTAGGTCTTCTAGCGACTTAAGCAAGGTGCACTTGGAATCTTGGTTAGAAGTTTCCGAAGCCTGTCCACCTCATTTGATTCCTCTAAGGTCGCACAGATGTGCCTTCAGGATTTATTCTTTGCCTTTCGCACTTATTTTTTATATGATTTGAGTAAGTTCTTGTACTCTCCCCAGCATAATTCATTATCGGCTACCTTGGCCAATTTGAAGCTTTCTAGCACCTCCCGTCTTTGTGATCCCAGCTCCTTATTCCACCAATGAGGTTGAGATCTACGCTTAGTGCGCGTCAAGTTCACTCTTTGTGTTGAACGCGTGGCTTAGCCTTCATATCGTCTAGTTTCTAGGATTTCTGAGGACCCAACTATTTCTTTTGGGAGATCAACATGCCGACCACATGTATTTGTGATCAGAAAATGACGCACAGTGATTCGAATAGCATATCCAGCTGGACGAAAGTCAAAACTTTATTTGTTTTTAAATTAATTTTTGATACTTAAAATACATTACTGACAGTATATTTAGATAGAAATAGCGTTATACGGAAACAAAAAACAAGTAATTCAACGCCGTCTAGTTGAGAGCTCTAATATAACAACTGAAATTTAACCTAAAAGATTGCTAATCTCACTCACAAATATTTGCATAATGGAAAATGGACTTTATAAACCAAAAATTTCAATTACTTCTTTATAGATTCAGAGGCCATAAAGCAATTCATTGTCATGTCATGGTTTAAGTAAATTTTTACTGAAAATTCGTCGTTTCGATTTGTTAAACAAAAATAAATTAAAGAGTAGCAAAAGTAAAGGCCGCTGAAGGCCGTTATGAAACTAAGTACCTGCATATTATTGTATGCACTTTCGCAAATGTAGAGGTAAAGTTTGCGTGGGTCTGTATCTTCGCGTTGGCGTTTCTCATGTTCTCGGTACGCCGTCCTTTATGCTGTACGTGGAGGAGTTTAGTTGCCTTATTAACTTTCATTGGTGTACATTTATTTTCGAACATATGATTTGAAGTTTGATTCTGATGTGACGCTTGGGTTTTGTGTCCTCTTATTGTATTCTCTTATATGTTCGCGGAATCTTGTCTTAATCTTACGGCCAGTTTGTCCTATGTAGCTACACTTGCATTCACACGTTAATTTTTATACACCCTGCTTATCTAGAGAGTCCTCTTCGTTTGTGCTGCTGTTCAGTATTCTTCCGACGTTGTTCCTGGTTCTGAACGATCTGCGAATGTTGAAATTTTGGAAAACCTTGGCTAGTTTGTATGTAATTTTACCCGTGTAAGTTAACACTGTCCAAGTTGTATCTTTGTTTTCTTTCTTGTTTCCACTTTTTCGTTTCGAGTCCTTTCTAATTTTGTCCACCAGATCTTTTTTGTATCCATTCTTTTTGGCAATAGCATATATTGTGTCTAGCTCTCTCCTGTGTGCTTCCGTAGTTAATGGGGTTCGCTCAAGTCTAGTTAATAATTGTCTAAATGCTGCGTTTTTGTGGGTGGTTAGCGGTTTCATGTGTTACTGTGTCGGTCGCTGTGGGCTTTCTGTATATGTATCCCGTATTCCAGCCAGTTGGTGGTCTTGTTTATTTTAATCGTTAGATCCAAATAGTTTAGTTTTCCTTTCTCTTCCTTATCCAAAGTGAATGCTATATTTTTGTGTAGTTCAATTAAGTAATCCAATATCTGCTCATCTTTGTCCCCCGTTATCGTATACTAGCAGATCCGGCGAACTTCGTCCCGCCCAAAATTAATTTTTTTATTGAAACATTTAGCTCAACGTTTTCGCCAGCAATTCACGTTTCGTTTTGTGGTCGACAGAAGGCATATCCTCCATTGCCGTCTTAAATAACCTGAGGAAAGCGTTATGCCAGGAAGAAGTCCTTGCGGCTCGATAGTGAATCGTCCTTGAATCTGAATAGTATAGTTGGTGGCAATTTCTAAAGTGGTGAGTATCATTGATCCACTTTCTGTTTAGTCACCCTAAAGCAAGGACCGCAATGGTTCTG